TATTTTAAGTACGGTAGAACAATGTTAGAACCCCTGTCAGCTTTTTATTGTTGTCTGTTTCCCTATTTAAAATTTTCCCTAATTTCCTGTCTGTTAAAAACGTTGTCCCAGAACAGAAGGTAAGGGGAGACATCTCTAACGGAGCTCTGGATAGCAGTGAAACATGCCAGGAGTTCTAACCTTTTCCCATGCTATCCAAAACCAGAAAAATGTTATGTGTATATATATACATTGAAATATGTAAACAGTGTTTTACGCAGACCTGTCTTGACAAAATATAAAATGTGTCAAACATAATATACATACAACTGCAGATACTAAAATAGCAGACGTGAGCCCATTCCTTGAATCTGGGAATCTAGAAGAGTTTTTATCTTCGGAGCATGGAGATTTTACACCTAGCGTTCTTTTTGTAAATGATAACAATCAATGTTTTTTGTAATATTATGATTCAAGCAGTACGAATAGGAGAGGCTTATAGGCTGAGAACTGGTGGACACGAGATCAAAGCAGAGGAACAAATTTGCACACGAGGCTCAGTTTAGCACTGGTAGGGTGAAAAAGGGCAGCTGGGAGAGATGAGGATGGAGGGAAGAGTTTGGGGACAGATGAAGATGGCTACATAAGTGTGTGGGAGAGAAAACAGGAGCAGCAGCATGTACATTATTTACCTGTTTGCCCTGCCAGCTGTACATCTGTGAAATCACAAGGCCTTTTTTGTGTTTGTGCGTCTTCACCAAAATGGTAATTTTGCCTGGCCCTACTCCCCTTTTTTGCTTCCTTTTTAAGCCTGCTGTATCCACTGTGAGTGTAGCCACATTTCTGACTTCCTGAGTGGTCGATTAACTGAAGCTGACTTGTCCCTTCCTGACTTCCTTCCTGGGCATATATTTTCTAAGAAATCTCTTCTACTGCTGCAGTGTAAGTGTAAGTGACATTTAATATAATATATAGGATGACAAGTTTACTTTGAAGTGAAACTCAAGTTACAACTTTTTTTAATTGGTTTGTTTAGAATTGGAAAGGTTTTTATTGCTGCCACACCCTGTTCACACCTAGGCATTCTGTTGCTCATGGCTAAGCTAGAACACAACTCTCAAGATAAGGAATCCCATTAAATTCTATGGTCTCTGTTCAAATCTGAGCATTTTGTTGCAAGCAGAAAAACACCTGTCACTGGAAAAAGTACACAATCTACTTTATGGCAGATTATAGCTCTTTTTGGTCCCATAGACTTCAGTGGGTAACTTTGTGCTACAAAATGCGAAACAAAACACACAAAATGTTTGAAATGCACGTTTCCATGTTTCCCATTGAAGTCTATGCGCTGTAATCTGCCAAAACCTAGCTTATCTACTTTTTCCAGCTACAGGCGTTTTTCCACTTGCGACAAATGTTCAGGTGTGAACAGGGACCATAGAAATGAATGAGATTCTTTGTCTTGAGTGTTCTGTCGCGCTTAGCTTTGAGTGACAAAACGCCTGGGTGTGAAAAGGAGCAAAGGGAAGATTTCTGTTTACTTTGCGCTCAGGGAAAATAATAAATAATAAAAGCACTTTTTTGGTATGTTGGGGAATGGTTGCAATTTCTGCCAGTTTTGAGTTGCCATCGGTGTGTCCCATTATTGAGATTACTTTTACCTTCCTGCCCAAGTAACTCTACAACCCCCAGAAGTGGCACAGACAACAATAAAAGATCTCAAAAGATTTGCCCTCGCTTCCGGTGTGATCACAGGGTTTTGGGAAAATCTCCCTAGTGCTGACACAGCAATAAAAGTATGAGAACAAAGAAGACTGGAGTCCCACATAAAAATGAATGACAGATCTGTCAACAAAGACCTCCATAAATCTTGTGTGGAAGTAGAACATAAAATCATAAATGCAAATAAACATAGGCTTAGGGAGCCAGAAAACTACAATCAAGGACATCCTTCTCCCAATGGTGAACACAGAACAAAGAGTTATTAATCCACACTGGAGCTCAAGTGAAGATATAAATAGCATCTCATTTAATGTGGTTTCATCTGTGGTTACTCTACTCTGCTTTATTCTATTTATTGTTTTGTTTCACAACATGCTAAAAATATTATTCTACTTGTATAACTGAATGCATTGCTTGAATTTCTCTAGTATATTTCACATTTGTTTTTCATTGGTTTCTTTAGAAGGACGTTTAAACAATGAAAAATTAGACTTTTTTATGTTCTTGTCTTACATATACTTTGTTTGTTTAGGAATTTTAAATAATGTCTGTAAGGGTTGAGTATTACTTAATGTTTACATAATGATGATGTAAGTGTAATTGCAGAGATGTGGGGTCCGTTGATCATTTTAGATTGACTACCACTTTTTAAATTCCTAAAGTAAACTTCGTGACTATGTTGTATACTTTTAATTATTGCCCCACAGCAATGTAAGCTCTTTAAATTATACAGACACACCCTTTGCTTCAACTTGAAGTACGTATCATTCAAATTGTCAGTTCGTTTAAAATTCAGGGTGAACATGTGTACATGGACCTAGAGCATATATATTACAACCATGAAAGGATCAGAGCATGCAATTAATTTGTGTGTATAGATTTACAAATTGCAGATCCACAGGGATCTTGTATGCATGTTTCATGAACTAATCTGAGTTTATTTGTATTTTTACAGGAAAATGCACTAGGGTGAGTTATTAGAACCGAGGAATGTGATAGGGACAGATGCGTAAATAAGCTTTTGTGGGATCTAAAGCACAATATTTCACAGGGCCCCTAATTATCTAGTTTTTAGTACCACCCACCGTGTGCTTAGATGTTACCCCACAACTCTAGTCAGAGGTTAAAGTATTTTAGAGCTGATGCACACACAGTAAAAAAAAAAAAAAAAAAGACAAGTATCATTGAGTCTTGATCTGACATAATTCCATCTAAAGGGCCATGGGCCCAGTTACATTGTTGTATCTTCTAACTTTGTAACTAAACTTAAAATGTACCTTTATGTACTAACTGTGTTAGAAGAGGTGTAAAGGCCTAGGCCCATGATGCAAGATCTAAACACAGATATTCTAGTTGTCCCATTCAGTCCACATGGTGGTAATTTGTAATTAAGGTGGATAAAGTAGACCCTTTTTTTCATCTTTGTAGTCTTTTAGAGCTTAATGAAACAGATAAAAGCAAGAAATTGGCTGAAACATATAGATAAATATTGCCTAATTTTGTATAAAAAGTAATGCAGGCCCACAACTGATAACTATAGGGCAGGGGTCTCGAAGTAAATTGAATTTGAAACCTCTGCTATAGGAAGATACGACTAAAGGGAACATTTAGAAGTATGAAGGCAGCCATAGTGAGTTTTTCTGAAATTATAGTTGTCTGACTGTCATAGTGGTCTTCTGGCTACTGAACTGCAATCTGTGAAGTCAGAACTTCTGAACTGCATACAGGACAATAGGGGCCTAGGGGTTTAAAGAACAAATGCTGGTGATATATGTAATATACTAGATTTTTGTAAACATAACAGATTTCAGCATCACTTATAATATTTCATTAGTGGTTTGAGATACATTAATGATACAAAAACTGCTGGAAGCAATTACATTTCTTTTCTTGGATGCTACTTAACATAAAGTTATTGATTTAAAAAAAAAAAATATGTTAAACTGCTCTTCAGTGTGAGTAATTAAAACCTTTGTTACATGTTGAGGGCATGAAATAATTAGTCTTTCTGAATGTGTATTTAAAAACAGGCACAAACAGGAATTAATGTTAATAATTAGCAAGTAATAGTTTGTTGCTCATTTACAGTATATAGTATATCACAGGCATGGTGGGAAGGAGCGAGCACTTAAATGCAGCCAAAGCAAGTAAAAGATTCCATTGCTGACAGTGACTCTATATACTTGTACTCATTACTACTTTCTGAAGTAGTGTTGAAAAGTTTTTTTTGTCCTTTTACAGGCATTTAATTGGCTTAATTCCGACAGGGAAATTACATTTCAACATACATATTGCAAATGTACGCACAAAAGTGAAAATATACGGGACTTCCAGAAATGCATACCCACTAGGAGTAACACGTGTGGCGTTTGGAGGTTGCGGGTTTATTATGTGTGAAGAATAAAAGAATCAGGAATAATATGTGGTTGTTTGGGTGTGATGAACGGATGGGAAGAAGAAAGGGAAAAGGAAGGGTGGCTGGGTATAAAGGTTTTAGGTCGAAGGTAATGGGGGTGGTGCTGATCAAGGGAAAGTAGAGGTGAGTGTGAAGGAGGACAGGCAAAAGTAGAAAATGGAAAAGAAAGAAGGAAGAGAGAAGAAAGTTCAGAACAAAGAAAGAGAAGAAAAAAGAGTTGGTGGGGAATCATTGACTAAATTTGTTTTTATTTTAATTCAAACTATACATCTGTAATAAGGATCATGTCTGTGGGAAATGCTATTAAAACTTTGCACTGGAAAAATTGGAAAGCTATATTTGGACTGTATTGAAAATACTGCTGAGTTAAGAGTAATTGCAAGCCCATGCATGTGGTTTAGATGATACAGTTTTATTGAACTAACCTAATTCAGTGAAATTATAGCATTTTGTGTATACAGTGTCATGTATCTTAATGTAAACTTTGCAAGCAAAAATAACCAGGCACTGAATTATGTTTAACAAAAAGTGTTCCTCTGCTTCCTTAGACTTCCTGCTACATAGTTTCCTAACTAGCATGGCTCCCACAATGTTTAAATGTATAAATGACTGCTACTTTCCCACACAATGCTGGCACTTCCATTTACCATCCATATTACGGAACTCATGTAGCTGGCCTTGTAAAAACAATGGGACTCGTCACTCGTGCATCATTTTATTTTCTAATGACGGGTTTTATCTGATTGAGGGTTTCCTCTAGCGGGCAATCTTTCATTTCTCACAGTACACGCAGGTGAGACCAGCTAATTTATAATGCTGTGCAATATAAACATAAGAGAGAATTAGTTGATAATTATGTCTTTATAATCTTTTTCTTTTCTAGTATTCTATAACATCTCTGAAAACTATTCCTGAGCTATGCAGAAGGTGTGATGCACAAAATGAAGACAGATCCGGTGGGTGCCAAATTATCTAATACTTATTTTTGTTATAGAAGATATTTGTTCACCTTAGAACTCTACAGCTAACTGAAACCTTTATTGATAATACGTACCATATTACAGCAGGTGGTAAGTAGCTTTATTTCACAGTCAAGGTATTTAATCATTAGTAGGGAGGAAAAAAATTATAGGGGGTTATTCACAAAGCTGCCGTTATTCACAAGGCAGCCGAGTAAATAACCGACCCGAAGTGAAGTGAGCCGAACACTGTTTGGCTATTCACTTCAGGCTTGTATGGCTGATTTCAGCCGTATATCAGTTGAAATCAGACGTACATCGGGTGGCTTCGGGTCGGATCGGCTAAGCCGAACCTCCGGCAGGCTACTCGCTGCTGTTCGGCCTATTCTCATAGATGCCGAACAGCAGTGAGTGAATAGCCGAATGCCGCCGAGCATTCTGCTCAGCTATTCTGCTCAGTACCTCTAGTGGTACCAAGCAGAATAGAAAAACAATTAAAAAAAGTAACAAAAAAAAATAGAAAACGATTGGGCAGAGCTAGCAGTGACAGCTAGCTCTGCCCAACTGTTTTCGATTGGCCGGGACCAGCTGTCATTAGAATGAGAGCTTGTCGAAGCTGACGGGGATATGAAAACCGACTCTGCTAAGCTCTCATCCTCATGACAGATCAGCGTCTGCAGGTTACCTAGTAACCAGCAGATGCTGTTCTGTCATGAGGATGAGAGCTTAGCGGAGTCGGCTTTCATATCACTGCCGGCTCTCCTAAGCTCTCGTTGTAATGACACATGGGCATCCCTGGTTACCAGGTAACCAGGGACACCCATGTGTCATTACACTGAGAACTCGGCGGGGCAGCTGTGATATCACAGCGGCTCCTCCGGGTTCTCAGTGTAATGAAAGATGGGAGCGTCCCTGGTTACCTGGTAACCAGGGATGCCCATGTGTCATTACACACTGAGAAGCTGGCTCCGCCCAGCTGTCAGAAGCAGACTGTCGGCCGGCCAGCTTCGAATTGGGCTCAGTCGAGCCGAAAGCATATGCCTTCAGCTCGACTGAGCTCCTCAGCCATCTTCGGGCCTGTACGGGCTATAGTGAATAGCCCGTACAGCAGCCCTTAACCGAAGGGGTCCTGCGGGCGCAGCTAGCCGAAGGATCAGCCGAAGCTACGGCTAGATCCTTCGGCAGCTTTGTGAATAACCCCCATAGTTTTAATGCCCCCAATGTTTCAGAGAATATTAGATTTCAGCAAAATGTTGTCATGTTGGTGAAATGCGTTAGTGTCAATGGGTAAGGTGAAACTGAGATAATTTTGAGATGATTTTTAAAGTGACCTTGTCATGAGAGAAGTATGCCATTGCTTGCATCCATTTGCTAGTTGCCTGGCAGTGTCTGACTTAAGTATTTTCGAGTCACAGACCTAAAATAAGCATGCTGTAAATGAGTGTCAGAAAAGTGTTCCTTATTTCTATACATGTTCTAAGTCAGGGGCTCAGATGGCATTGATGGAATTGAAGCCAAAGCATGACAGCCAGGGAACTAGCATTCTTAAAAGGAGAGTTCAACAGTGGCAGCCATTATAATCTTTTGATGACAGTGTCTCTTTAAGGGTGCAATGGACTTTAAAATGGCCTTTTAAGTTACTTTATGTTTTTTTATACAGAAAAATATAGACAGTGAAAAAAAAATAAAGTGACAAGATACAAATAGCAATCAAATATACACAAAAATACATACCCACACACACACCCACACACACACACACCCACACACCCATAAAAAAAAATCCTCTAAATAGAGTTTTGCTAACAAGTCTCACATAAGAGAAAATGAAAGAAATCTGTAAATTCCTGGTGACATTTTTCAGACAAAATCACTCCACTCATCATGACTCAACTGTGAAATTCATCAGTATCTCCTGCTGGCATATGCTTTGTATTTAACATTAAATATTCCAGTTGCCACTGTTGATTGCCTTACATTGGAAGGCTTAACTGCTATCTTATGTCCTATTTTTGTTACAATTGATTGTATTTAATGGAACAATGCCTGAGAAAATGATGGCCCCCTTTAAATGATCCTTTGGTGTTATTCAGTTGTATTTACCACTGCAGTCAAAATCTCCCCTTGTTTCAGCAGTATTTAGCAAAGAAGTTAAATTCTGTGCAGACTGCTGTACTAATCTGTTAAAGAAAAACTTTAGGCAAATATGGAAAACACACTTTACGGTTATGTGGTCATCACAAAATCTTTGAATATATTTTGAATTACAAAGAACATGTGTGACATATAATCAAATTCTGCTTCATGTTAAGAACCCAAATTTAATAGGATATACAGTTGTTTCTAGTGAGTGATTGAAGGATACATTTTCACATATACTGCTATGGTAGGTATAACATGTAACTTGGCAACTTGACTAGGAACAGAAATGAGCTTTTACATTAAACAATATTTTAAATCAAATCATCTACAGGTTGCAGCATTGCTTGTATATGCTTGCTTTAAATACTCCGAAAGGGTTATTCACAAAAGGGTGAAGAGTTTGGAGAAGGCCGGAGAAGTGAACAATCTAGGCCAAAATAGATGCTTTGGAAAAATTCTCCAATTCAACTCACTTTCCAAATCAGCTATCTTGTCCTAGACTGTTCACTTCTCCTGCTTCTCCAAACTCTTCACCCTTTTGTGAATATCCCTGTGATATGTGCAAACAAGTTACGGGTAGAATGCAACTACATCCAACCTAATCTTTGCAAGCACAAACTGACTGAAACACATTCATCCATTACTATGTCATTAAATCCTGTCATTCTAAGGAATATTCTATAGTAAAGTGAGTGGTTTTCCTAGAATATCTTCTGTAATTATCATGAAATTAGGCGAATACTAATAATGGCCAGAAGACAAATAGAGACGGTGAAAATGTTCTTTTTCTGAACATTATGTATATATATATCCTCAAGGAGCTTACAATCTAAGGTCCCAATCTCACATGCATACAGGGCCGATTTAAACAGGAGCCAATTAACCTACCAGCACGTCTTTGGAGTGTTGGAAGAAATTGGAGTACCTGGAGGAAACCCACGCAAGGGAGAACATGCAAACTCTTTGTAGATTGTGACCTGGCTGAGATTCAAACCAGGTACCCCCAGTGCTACAGGGCAGAAGCGCTAACCACTAGGCCACTATGCTGTAAAGTAAAAAAAAAAAAAAATCTGAGGGTATAATATAATAGGGCCAATAAATAGAGATAACAGTTGTATGGTTTGATTATGACAGGCCTGTGGTGGATTAAATTATAATATGGTCCTGTAAACAATGATGACCTGACAATACACGTCACAAAAATTTAATCCTGAAGATCCTTAAAAAAGGCTACAAACATGCTGCTTCCCCAAGAACAGCAACAATGTAACCAGTGTTCAGGCTCCATCCAGCAACAGGCGCATAGGCTTATGTGAACTCTCTATCTCCACCACTGATCTATGCTATTTAAAAGGATTGTTCAAATTTCCATTTCTAAACCCCGCAAGCAGAAAACTTAATTTTTATTTAGAGACATCTCAGTTAATCTACAAAGATTAAAGCGTAATGAGACATCTCTGACTTGTAAACACTGGAATTGTGAGCCATGTATGAATTAGTAATAAATATGTGCTGGAGAGCTTCTCTACAAACAAACAGCCCATTATCTTTTGCAAATATTTGGAATGAGCTTGATACTAATTCTTCTTATCCCAATCTGTCCATTAAGCCATGAGACACATGTAATCCCATCATATATTATCTGCCCTGACAGCTTTTGAGAAAAGCTACAGCTTGTGTATACATTAATATCATTCTGCTCTTCTGATAACAGGACATTCAGTTACTGGAGTGATGCATTGTTTTTCATTGTGTTTCAGCTTGCTTCAAATGGCCTAGCTAAAGTTGTGTCTCCTTTATTAAAGAATCTGCTTGTCCAAGTCAGACTGTGGTCCCCTAGTACAGTAGATACATAATACAGTTTGTAAATGATGCCTATATTAAATTTACTCTTTTAATGTATACAGTGATTCCATACAAATAAAACCTATTTCTTCTAAATGTTCTTTCCCTTTGCTGTGAGAGTTGTCATCAAACCAGTGTAAATATTGCTCTAATTAATTTAGCTTGTCTGCATCTGCTCTGTACGCTTAGAGGTAAAAACCAGGGATGCATCTGCTCCAAATACCCTTTTGATCTAATGTGTTAATTTCAAGAAACCATACATGTTTTTTTTAATCTATGTTGCAATGCACTAATGCAATCATTAGAGATCACAGACTGCTAGGAGCAGGAAGCCCTTGCATTAGTTTAGCAACAGTGTAGACAAAATATGTCTCCAGACCAGGAATGCATCAAAGGTACTTTGACATGTGCATCAACTTCCACAACTGGGTGTCGGGAATCATATATACGTTAGTGGGCAGGTGGCTTCCTTGTTGGTATTCATTGTCTACAGTTCCAGTGCAAACAGAGACAAGTAGGATATAAACAATGCAATATTTACACTGGCTTGATCCTGTGATGGCAGCTCTCAAAGTATAGGTAAAGAAAAGGCATAGGCAAAATCAGGAGCGGACTGACAACACAAGGGGCCCCCAGGCAATACGAGATTATGGGGCCCCTTTTGCTCTGTCCATATACAGGCCTCATCCACCCACAATCCCCACTCATCCATAAGGCCCACTCACATATAAATTCTTGTGTTGCAGAAATTATTTCTTCTCACTATTTTTAAAATAGCTGGTCTATTCACTAAAAAGTGAATTGCAGGGGAATTGGTAGAAGAATAGTATATGAATTTGCTACATGCTCTGTGCTGCCGCTCTGCTCCACGTGCCGGCCTGATGTCTCGGCTGGAGGGTCTCAGCAGGGGCAGATGCAAACGGTCTAAGTAGGGGCAGATGCAGAGGGTATCATGGAGCAGATGTGAAGGATAAGCAGGGCAGGGCTGTATACAGGCAGACTGAGTCAGC